AAAAAAAAAAAAAAAAAAAAAAATTCAACTGAATAGATTTTAAAGATCTTACGGCTTTATTCCAGGAGTTATGAAACGGGCATCATTCAGTCTAACAGGTAGACGGGAGCTCTCAGGAGCTGTACAAGATGAAAGACGCTTATGGGCCAAGTTACAGTAGGCAAAGAAGCGGGTGGTTGTGGCGAGGTTCCTTTCCTGCAGGGGACAGCAGGGTCTGCGAGGCACATCACCTCACTGGTGCTCGTCAGGCGATTCCTGGTTGGTTTAAGATCCCATTTCTGGGAGAGTCGAACTGTAACGGAGGTGTCTCGGTTTGGAGACGTGGGGCTTAGCGTGACGGGCTCCATTTGGGGGCCTGTTGTCCTGTTTTTAGCCTGGGGGTACCTGACTGGTACCAGTGTGATGTGGGAAGCTGACTCTCTCTCCCCGGCAGTTCCCAGGTGAGCCCCTCACAACCCGTCCACCTCCACACCCAGTGCTATGGTTCTCGCTCTTTCTGTCGAGCCCTCCTGGGCCCTCACAGGCAGCTCTCTTGGACAGGATCCCCCCACAAACAACGCAGAGGCAGCTTTCCTGAAGTGGGTTCCGTTCACACCCGGTCCTCTGAAGGCACACACCTCTGACCAAGCCACTGCTACCTCACAGTGCGTGTGAACGCTCTCTGGGCAGACACAGCCTCGAGCGTCTTCAGCCTCGGCCGCTTGGTGTTGCACTAAAAGTTACGAGTTTTTGGTCACCAAGTCCCGCAGAGGTGGTGCAGCACGTCACCTGGAAATATGGGAGAACTCACCACCTGTTGTTCTGTTCTTGGCTCTTTGGGGTCCAGCCAAGTTAGTCCCATTTCAATATCCTGTCACCAGTATATCCATTGTCCCGTGAGGACCATGCTGTGCCCTGGAGGTAAAGAGAGGAAGATAGTGTCCCTGCCCACCTGACTCAGACCAGGCAAGTGGGGGAGATGCATGTGTCAAAAACACACCTGTGAAAGATTCGGTAGAAGTATGGCCAAGGCATCGTAGGAGCCCCCAGGAAGAAGGCTTCCTGGGGAAGCAAGGGCTTGAAGGATAAAAGGGAGTTCTCCAGGCCGACCAGGCAGATTAAGTGCCTCATACGTGTACAAACGGCGGAAGCCAGGGAGACCACGTGTTTGGAGAACTGCTATCGGTTAGCGTGTCTGTGGTGTAGGGTCCATAATGGGAAGAAGGGGAAGACGAGGCAGGAAAGATGGAAAAGTTCTAGGGCAAAACAAGTTTGGATCTTATCCTTGGAGGGGTGGGAATTTTTGGAGGATTCATGTAGGGGAGGTGACCCGATCAGATTTACATTCAGAAGGATCACACTGGAGGGTCAAGTGTGAGCTGGGGAGGAGGGGGAGAGGCAGGTGGGGAGCCAGGAGACCAGAGAGGAGGCTGTGGACGCCTTGAGTAAATCAGCAACACACAAAACTAACAAGGAGACAGGCCAACTGGTTAAGGGGCGAGCAGGGGAGGGATGGGTCAGGGACTGTAATTTATGGCGTGTTTACCAAGTGCTACACATCTTCCAAGTGTTTGACATGGATTAGCTCATTGAATCATCACGACAGCCTGTGACATGCATATCATTATCAGTCCAATTTGACAGATGAGACCATTGAGGCACAGAGAAGTAAAGTAATTTGCCCAAAGGCACACTGCTGTTAAGGGCTGAAGTCAGATTTAAGCTAGAAGCTGAGCGTGTAACCACTACATTATCCTTGGGTTACTGTTTTCTGCCTTGGGTTACTGGGTAGATCATGAATCTATTAACCAAAACGGAGAAAACACAGGGAGTAAGTACTCCTTCCCACCACAAGCAAAACACAAAGTTTGGTCGGCGGTGGGAAGGGTAGGAATGTGGTAAGTTCCGTTCGGGACATTCTGAATGAGAGACAGCAGGTGGGTGGAGATGTGGGTCCCGAGCTGAGAGTAGAGACGGCTTCATTTTACAAAAGAGGAGCTATTTTCTGTGCAGTCTCCTTCCCAGAGCTTTGCTTGGCCTCCAGAACTTGGGGTTTGAGAGTAGAGATCTCGTGTTAATAACAGCTAAACAAATCTGCCCAGGGGCTTGGCGGGGGGTGGGCACTCAGTTTGGCTAATGCAGAAGTTTCCTGCAGGAGGCAGACTGTTCGTTTCAGAGATACTGATGTGGTCTGGTTTCCCACGAGAACCTTCCTCTGAAGAATGCTGTATTGTTGTAAAACAAAACATAACTGTGACCTTTGTGAGTGTATTTGTTTCCAGTGGCTTCTTGGAGGTCGATTTTGATCATTGGTGAGGGATTTGCTATTTGCTGTTCTCAGGTTTGCTTCTGAGATCCAGATCCTCGTCTTCTGCCTGTAGCCACCCCGCAGATAGGCGTCACCTCAAAGCCCCCCATGCTAGTGTATCAGCAGTGCTGGCCGGTTCCTGAACTTCAAGTACATGGTTCCCTTGACTGTGCTGAGTTTCTGTGAAGTTTCAGTCCCTTTTGTTTGTTTCTTTTAATGTTTATTTTTGAAAGAGAGAGAGACAGAGCGTGAGCAGGGGAGGGGTAGAGAGAGGGTGGGGGGAGACACAGATCTGAAGCAGGCTCCAGGCTCCGAGCTGTCAGCACAGAGCCCGACGCGGGGCTCGAACCCACAAACCGTGAGATCATGACCTGAGCCGAAGTCAGATGCTTCAC